TGGAATATAGTTTATTTTCCATTTCAAAGATGTGGCCTCTAAGAGTGAGTATTCTTGAAACTGAAAGTGGGGAGATTCAGATTAGGTATCAGGAAGAAGTTCTTCCTGGAGAGGGTGGTGAGGCACTGGAACAGGCTGCCCAGAGAAGCTGTGGATGTCCCATCCCTGGAAGTGTTCAAGGCCAGGCTGGATGAGGCTTGGAGCAACCTGGTCTAGTTGAAGGTTGCCCTGCCCATGGCAGGGGGGTTGGAACTCGATGGTCTTTAAGGTCCCTTCCAACCCTAACCATTCTGGGATTGTATGAATCCTGGCACACTTCTTTACTGCTGGCAGGGAGGGTTTTGTAGCAGCTCTTGTACATCCAGGATTTCACACAGATAACTTACAAATGAAGAGACTCTAGAGAAATGCCCCTTCTCCCTAGAGACAAAGCTGATTTAAAGATTATTATTTTCAAAGCATTAGTGCCTCAAACTTGGTGAAATATTTCAACTACCCAGTTACAGTTTGTATGAACTGTTGTTTGTGAAAGTCAGCAGCCAATTTCCTCTTGCACAGCTAATTCAAACAAGAATACAAAAGCTGTGGCTTCCCCCTTCCTCAGAGCTGTGAGCAAGAGATACCCTACAAGAGCTTGTGACATTTAATGACTTGCTAAATATACACAACTCTGCAGCGTTCATGCGGGTGTATGAACTGAGGGGAAGTTCTTCTGGCCCTGAAGTTCAGAAGGCAACAGGGGAAGTTTACTGCTGGGCAGCAGTGTTACCAAGACTGATGTTGCCTGCCTCCATGAAGAACTCTCCACATGGGGTAGAGAAGCCTTAACACATCCCTTGTTGTCCAAGGCAATGATTCCAGAATTGAGTTGATTTCAAATAACTACAGGTCCAAACCACTTGTTTCATGGGGAGTTTAACTTGCTATAAACTGAAAAGAATGAAAATAAAGCCCTATGAAAATAAACCAACAACATCATGTACTTCCAAGGATCAGACCACAATGACAGACGTTTGCCTTAATATGCGTGATACCACCTTTTATTCCAAGAAACGAATGGAGATTTGCTAATACGATTCAGATTAGGATTTCATTCTGGAAAGGCTGTCCATTTGCAATGCTGCGGGTACAGCTACTGAACCTGCCCCTTCCGTGTGCCTGCAACAGTTTTTGTAGTCTAATGAATGCTCACAATACCTCGGCTGGAGTAGGAACGTGCCCTTTCTGGAGAGGTGTGTACAGCAGCAGAGACGGTCAGACAACATCCCTGGCCACCATCTAGGCAGGGAAGGTCTGGATACAAGCCTCCGACACTTGCATTCTACAAAACAGCCAACTCAACAACTGCACGTTTGTCATTCTTCCCACGCACAGCTCAAGATGGTGTTGCTCCACGCTTTTTAAAAGTCACGCTGCACAACCCTTCATCTTATGATCCACGGTTTTGGGCTTTTTTGTTTTTGAGACCATGTTCATTGTAAACAGCAGTACAGCAGCTCTTTACCAAGAGAGTCTGGAAGGCTTTTTTGATAAAAGACACTGTTACCATTGTTGGTAACAGAGAGCTGTTATTTCCACATAACAGCAAGGTGGGAGACAAGAGGTCTTTTGTGTAACAACTTGCACCTAAATTCTTAACTCCTAACACACTTCCAGTTATTTTTAGCAGAGGCATAAACTACGCAGAGTACAAGAAATGTCTGGGATGCACAAGTTAAGGCTATTCTCCCCCAGCCATCCCCCCCCAGTTCAGTTTTCCAGTAGGGTTTTTAAATGAGACAAGCACTCACTGCTTGGTAACACTACAGCAAAGATGTATTTCAGCTTCAACATTTCCAAACAGAAAGAAACCAAGAAAATATTTCACATCTCAAAGTATGCTTCACAGGTCAACAATGAAAAACAAAAAATCACGTAAGCTTCTCAGTTTCCAAGCTTAAGGTACAAGCAGTATACAGTGTTCTCAAATTCACCTCCCTAGAGACTTGTTCATACATTGTAAAAAAGTATCACACACAGAAACCAGATCCCACATCCGCCCCAAACGAAAAAGGTAGCCTGAAAAAACCTCGCATCAGAGAAGAAGTTGGTATTTTTCTCCAGTGGCATTGCATGTGCTTTCAGTTTCAGTAAGCCTACACCCAACCACCTACACTGGCGTACCCCAGCGCTGGCTAGGCAAGCATCCCAACAAGGAAACGACCCCAGAGGTACCTGCAGAAACACCTAAGCATTAGAGGAAACATGTTTAAACCTCAACTGAAATACCGGATGCTGAAAGGTTCCCTTCAGCTTTCTACAAAGTTTTGTTTCACCCTCCCCAAAGAAAGGCCTTGCAGTGCAATGCGGAGCAAGGACGTGCAGGAGAATTCTCATGTTCACATTCCCAGTCTATTTTGAATACTATTGTTCCCAAACCCTTTGTTAGGGGAAACCTACTGCTCTTCCCTTGTTGCATGTTTGTGCAGTAAGTGTAAATCCCAGGATGAGTGCACAACACTGACCAACTCTGCGCCCTCCTTTAAACCCAGGGTGATGACAGAATGGTGCCTGTCCCAGTTAAAGGGGGGGTTTAACGAACACCTCTGAGATGACAACCCCGGTATTCTGACCTCTGTCATAAGCATTGCAATGACAGTACTGCAATTAGATGAATTCCTATTAAAGCAGCATGTTGCAAAGTGAGGAAGTGCATAACTGAAGTAGCTGTGGGTGAGGGCGACAGCATCTCCCCTTTCCACTGGGATTCTCTTAACCAAGCCTGCAGAGCTCTCCTTCAGCACGAAGCTTGTGCTACCATTTGGGTTTAAGTTGCAAATAAGCAAGAAAAGGTGAACTCAATGCATGTTTGCTGTCTGCCATCCACATTCTGGAAGGTAGCTAGGGAAGTGATTAGTAACAATCTGGGGGTTTAGGTTTGCTCTTCTGACTCCCGCAGCCTCTCTAGAAAGTACTGCGAACATCACTGTGTGCAGCTCGGAAAGCCCCGGCAGCGTTCAGTTTTAGCTGGCATCAGCAAATTAAAGACACACCTAATGGCCAGCTCCACTAAGAATCAGCTTTGCAACGTCAGGCACACCTAACGCTGATGTTTTCCTTCAGTGTTTTCTTAAGCAAACAGCAATGCAGGAAAACAAGGCAGTACAGAACGGCGCCTGCAGAACTGCAGAGATGAGTCACGCAAGATTTCATACATACCCCCCAAATTAAGGGGCTGTGCTCCAAGCCTTCCTAAAGCTACTGATACAAGACGGCTTCATGCTAAGCAAGCGTCCCTGCCACCACGGAGAAACCCAGCCAATGGCTTCTGACACAGTGACGCCCGACAGCTCGTGGCGTGGCACTGCAGAGTCACCGCTGAGGCAGCCAGAAGCTCGCTCGCTTCTGAACTTGCCTAGATTCATCCCTTAAGTGCAGCAAAATGAGTTCTGTGCTGCGGTACAGAGCTCCCTGCGGCTCTTGCTGGGTCTGCCCGCAACCCTCCCAACGGCAGCAGCGGACTGTTAGGCAAACCGTTGTTTGACAGAGGCATCCAAGGCCAAAATGTTGTGGAGAGAGCAAGAAATTGCACTTACAGAAGTACCAGACTGAGTATTGGTGTGAATCTTGAAAGAGTTTCTCCTTCAAGCATTGCACTCAGAAGCAAAGTGCAGAGAAATACTAACTCGCATAGGGAGGGGGAAAAAAAATCAGCTTTTAAACAAGCCTGAGAACTACACAACTTTTCTCACTTCATACCACATTTTTCATACAAACCTTAGTCAGCAGCTTCCCACCTACCATCTGCAGTGAGCTCATAAAAAAACCACAACTACAATAACAAGGTTTATTGCCCCATACAAAAGGACCAAAGTCATATGCAGTTTTGTTGACTCAGAATTTTCCCTGACAGAGACTTTCCTCTGGAAGAACAAACTCCAGCCTTATACCTTTTTTGCCCATATTAAAGTGTGCTTTTTTAGATTTAAGAGTATATATGGCTAAAGATTTATACCGCTGTTCCTTAAATCGTGTCTCTAATCCTACTCATCGAATGCTAAGGCCCACCCAGACGTATCGCATAAACACATGACAGCAAGCCAAACTCACAGGAGAAAGCAAAATCAGATGTTACACACTGGGACAAGCTCGACAGCACTCTGCAACCAGCTTGTACACATGTTGCGTAACTGATTCATCAGCCTTACTCTGAAGGAAAACTCTTATCACAGAAATACAACAGACTCCATTGGAATATACAGGTGTTGTGCTTCTACACGTCTTCAAACTGCCAGCCACACAGAATTCCTAGAAAACATAGTCCAGTGTACAGGAAACAGAAAAAGTAAAAACCTACGTTCACCTAAATAAAAATATACGTATCAAGTAGTTTAATGCTGATTGTTGAAGGCAGTACCACCTAGATTCATATTCTGGAGCTACAATTAACACAGTAGTTTAAGGAAATATGCCTAAATCTAAACATTATTATTAAGTTAGGTTGTGGATTGCTGTTTTCTGCAGGATTTAAGCTATCTGCAATGGTGATCCATGCAAAAGCTTCCTTGGGCAGGAAAGGAAAAACCCCAAAGAAGTCTAGTCACATTCAGCGACTTGTTAGAATCTAAGGCTTAAAAAAAAAAAACTCTCTAAGAAAAAAAAAAACCCACATAAGGGGAGGGTGGGAAATTAAACCACCATGTAACGTCTGTGAAGTGCAACTCTGCTGATGTTATTTCCCTAAAAGTAGCTCAGAATGAGGTATTCAAGGTCTATTCACACATCTACACAGATACACAGCTTTCCAGGTTCACCTCGAGTATTTTCACTCCCTGAAAGATGAAGGGGCTGTGGAGTGAAACAGAAACATGCTCTTTCTCTGCATACCTGGTACATACGTACTCCAGTGTACCAACGGATCAGCATCCATTTCCTTTTACTCCACATAGTTAGACTGATCCACTTCTATTTCTTTTATAAGGTTATTTTAAGCATCAAAGAGGAAATAGTACCAAGCATTACTAGTCTTGCAACAGTGGCTGGGCAGCTTCCGTACGTGGCATTGGCATTGTATTTGCCTGGGTGAGGATAAAATGCTTAACAAAAACTGCAATAAACACCATAACGAGAAAGCTGCCCAGAAAGACTCCTACAGCAGTAGCATAGGTGTCTGCTCCGAAGGCTACAGGAACTTCTTCCGCAAGGATGTCTTTCACGGCGCCGAATGAACCATTGTTTGGCAGGGGGTTAATACCGAGCAGATGGCACAGTAAGGGGTACAGGTCTGTAGCATTCATGGCTTCTTTGGTGGCGTTCTTTCTGAAAGTAGGCCCAACCGCCAAAAAAATTGGATGCATTTCTGGTAAGGTGTTGTCATATCCATGATTACCCACTAGAAATGAAAGATAAGTAAAGGTCAATATTCTGAAGTTGCAAAACAAGCATTGAACCTTTTCCCAGAATTAGCATTGTGCAGAAAAGGAACAGCCATCATTTATTCTTGAAGTTTAGAAGAATCATTCTGATAAACAGCAGAAATGTCTCCTAGCAAATACCCAGTTACAGATCTACAAAGAGAAGAAGCCTTAAAAAAGGAATGGAGAACAGTATTTAATAAAAAAAAAAAAAGGAAAAAATGGGAAGTTCCCCTGTCAGTAACAGCACTGCCGATGCCTGCTACGCTACACCCAAGCTTCTTTGGTGGAGATTTTCCCCCAGATCACCTTGAAAGCATCTTACCCTAGAAGGGAAACAAAAGTCACGGGTGTGCAGTAACTCAAGATTCAAAGACTCTTTCAAGCAACAGAACAAGGTTACTAGACGTGTAGCCATTCCCAGGAGCTGAGGACTTTCAGAAAGCATTCTTGTATTTCCAACCCTTCTCTGGTAAATCAGTAGTACATGATACAACCACGCTATTCGTCCTCTACTCAAAAAGGTCAGTTACAAGTCTGGTTTTTTAATCTGTCAGGAAGTGCTTGTCAGTTTGCTAGATCTCGCAAGACGAACAAGTACGCGGCCACTGAAACATGTGAATGATCTTATCTCAGTAAGTTTCATTTTTAGAAACGGTAAGTCCAGCTCCCCCTCCCCTGACAGTAGGCTACTTCCCATCCCTTCAAGAAAAAAACCCAAGTTTTACACATATAGCTTCACAGTTTTCCCTCCCAGTCTTAAAAAAAACCCCAAACATTGACTAATATTGGGAGAGAAAGGACCACGTAAGGTCTCTGAATATGTGAGAAATGGTCACAGTTCAATTATTTTGGTTCAGGTAGGATTTCAGTGAAGCAGCATTTTATTCACAGTTGCAATGGTGGGCACCCCCCTGCATACTTAATAGCAACAAAACGTATCTTAAATACCCTAATTCCCAATATATTCAGCTCCCTCCCCTGTTTCCTCATTGCCTGAGTATTCCAGGTTCACAGCCTACCTGATGCATGTGGCTATACTTTTGTACAACTTCTAAAAATTGGAACCCTCAACATCAGAAGGATATTGACCACTTGGAGCGAGACCAGAGGAGGCCACGAAGATGCTCAGAGGGCTGGAGCCCCTCTGCCATGGGGACAGGCTGAGAGAGTTGGGCTTGTTCAGCCTGGAGAAGAGAAGGCTCCAGGGAGACCTTATTGCAGCCTTCCAGTGCCTGAAGGGGCTACAAAGAAGCTGGGGGGGACTTTTTACAAGGGCCTGTAGTGACAGGACAAGGGGTAATGGGTTTAAATTGAAATCAGGGAGGTTTAGATTGGATATCAGGAAGAAATTCTTCCCAGAGAGGGTGGTGAGGCACTGGAACAGGTTGCCCAGAGAAGCTGTGGATGCTCCATCCCTGGAAGTGTTCAAGGCCAGGCTGGATGAGGCTTGGAGCAACCTGGTCTAGTGGAAGGTGTCCCTGCCCACGGCAGGGGGGTTGGAACGGGATGACCTTTAAGGTCCCTTCCAACCCAAACTACTCTGTGATTTTATGACACAGCAAAACACTTACTGTGAAGACAGAATACTTACACTGAAAGCCATCAGACTTATTATATATGATTTCCCATCCTTTGTCAGCCACTGCTAAGAGCGGCTGGATTTTACGGTTGTGTTTGTAATGTAATCGCTCTGGAATCTGCTCCTTTTTATATACAGTCATGTTGGGATGAGCATTGGCCAGGGCGTCATATACTTCATCCAGTTTGCCTTCAAAGAAAGAAACAAACAGAAAGACAAAACTTAAACATACCAATATGTTTACTAAACTCCTCAGTAGTTTAAATACACCTGGAAGAAGAGGGCAACCTGCATTTCCCCAAAAGCTAATTATAGCTGCAAGAGAGAACAGCTGATTACAGCATGCACAGAAGTCATGGTGAGAAACCCAGAGTAAGATCCCACGTGGCATCAGAACATCACAGCCTGTTCGTGAGCAGCAAGTGTCTTGCTAATTTTAGAAAAATCCCTCATTTCATAGCTTCTCACAAGAAGGAGTTAGAAGGCATTCAGATAAGTCTCACAAAAAGGAAACCAGCTCCTCCTAGCTGCACGTAAGGCTTGAGAGCAAGACGATAGTTCCTAAACCTGTGTATGAGGTAATGTGTGCATCAAGGTCATATTCTGGCTTCTCCCCAGTTGGCTCTGATGACAAGTGACACTACTTATTTATTTTAAGCAGTTTAATTTTTAGCTGCTTTCCTTCAAAAGGTCAAAGAGAGCAGCCACTTTGTTTTTTGGCAGCTCTGAAAACTTATTTCTGAGTGAACCCAACTATTTCTCCTTCTACAAGATGCTCCCCAAACCAGGTACATATTTGACCTCATTTAGTTTTGATCTCCTTCCATTCTCATGACGAGTTTAGCCAATTTAGAGAGTGTAGCTAGATTGTGCTAGCACCATGAAACATCCCAGTATTAGCAAAGTTAGAGCGAGTCCAGAGGAGGCCACGAAGATGCTCAGAGGGCTGGAGCACCTCTGCTATGGGGACAGGCTGGGACAGTTGGGCTTGTTCAGCCTGGAGAAGAGAAGGCTCCGGGGAGACCTTATTGCAGCCTTCCAGTACCTGAAGGGGCTACAAGGAAGCTGGGGGGGACTTTTTACAAGGGCCTGTAGTGACAGGACAAGGGGGAACGGGGTTAAATTGAACGTGGGGAGATTTAGATTAGATATCAGGAAGAAGTTTTTCACAGAGAGGGTGGGGAGGCACTGGGACAGGTTGCCCAGAGAAGCTGTGGATGCCCCACCCCTGGAAGTGTTCAAGGCCAGGCTGGATGAGGCTTGGAGCAACCTGGTCTAGTGGAAGGTGTCCCTGCCCATGGCAGGGGGGTTGGAACTAGATGGTCTTTAAGGTCCCTTCCAACCCAAACCATTCTGTGATTCTATGACTAATTGCCTAGGGAAAAGCAAAACGAGCTTGCATTAAGCTTTCACAGAAGCCTTGAGGTGACAGCCCAGACGCCACCAACACGTGGAGCTGCACAAAGACTGCCAAGGCCTCAGCATGGGACACACAATGCACGTACAAAGGACAGGTTGGATGGCAGTCGAAGATGCCCCTTCTCATCCAGAGCTGTCAGCCGCTCCGTGCGTTCAGTAACAGCACTACCTACTCCAATGGATGCTTAGTGTCCACTCCTTTTCCGTCCCCAGTCACCTACCCTATAAAACTCAAGAACTGCACTAACACCACCAAATAAACAGGCATTTTCCACCCCTAAGTCTTTATTTGCTTATTTCCAGTTTCTGAGCTTTTCTTCCCAGTAAAAGTCACTGAACAGCCAGACAGCAACTGGAACACCAGCGCGTGGAAAGGACGAACCAGGGCACACAGACAGGAACGTCAAACCAAGTCCAGGAATCCACATCTGAGCGAGTTTCTCCAACTCCAACCCCCCTGTTTAGGCAGAGACTCCTATTGAGGGCCGCGCAGCGTACACGGCAGGCTGCTGTTCCATAGCACGAGTTACTTAGTTGTGCCACACATCACAACCCAGTGGCACAGCCGAGTTCACAGCTAGTCTCCGCAGGCCAGCTGCAGTGCCACGAGGTCTGAAGCACGGTTGGAAGACATTCACCTTCTCTGCGTGGCCAACACTGCCATTTATAGCAGACAAGTGGGATTTAAGCACATCCTGTCATTTTGACTTATTAGCTCTGCCTTCACAGCTAGCTGCACATCCTGCAGTGTGTGAGCTCTCCTCCGACTGCCTGTCCCAAGAAACCGTCGCCCTGGTGACCACCAGAACCAGTGCTGCTCTCACCAGAGACACTGCCACAAGTACAACCCGTTCTGCTATTTAAAACGTGCACTGAGTTTTGACTGTACCTCAAGAAAAAGTTTAGGGGGAGGTGCCCAACATCTTTAACACAACCATCTTAATGTCCCCTCTCAGTTCCTAGCATCCGGTACACAAATTCTAGAGGAAAACTGGAAGTAGATTAATGTTTAATGTTTCTATCTGAAATGGGCATAAAAAAAAGAAACAGTAAAGGTGAAGATGAGAGAGAAAAAGTTCAATTGCAATAGAGATAATTACAGCAACAAGAAAAGGGACCCCAATCTAGCATCCCTAGGACTAAATTAGTAACAAAATTCATTTTGTTATGCAGCTTTTCTATACGGGATAACAGGGACGAGAAGACACAAATACAGCAATCTAGGATTTTACTCTAATTTAATAATTTGAATTAATATAATTGTATTAAATGCAAGAAAAAGGTCAGCATCACCAACAATGCTACAGGTGCCATCTTTGTGAACATGTAATTGGTTCCATGCACACTAAAACATTACCATGGTTAAATATGGCTTTAATCCACCTCTCAGGGAAGAAATACGCAGCCAAACAGTTCAAGTAGCAGAAACAGCTGCATTCTTAAGCATTCAAATTTTCCCTCAATCTTTCACTCAGTTTCATCACTCCCTTGGTTTCAGGGAGACAAACGGAACAGCTGCTGAAGAATCAGTCTCACGTACTTCCGTCTATGCTATTTCATTGCTGAACTGAGAATCAAGCTCATGGTTTTATCATAAAAATCACAGCTGGTAACACGGGAGGAAGGAATTTTAGCTGTGGTCAAAACTAATTCTTCTTTATTGGTACTGTAATAAATATCTAAGTATTTGATACTTAGGTATTTATTTACACTAATTTCTTCATACTATTTATAATAAGTATTTGATACTTAGACACCACCATTAGTGGTGCCAATGTTACAGCAACCTTAAAAACACCTTTTCAGAAGGCCACCTTAAAAATCAACTGCAGATTAACATCCCTGCCCACATAAGAAAGTCACTTTCCAGCTTAACGCGTTCACAGCAAACAGTTGCAGCTTTTGATCACCAAAATACAGAGCAGCACCTCTCCATCAGTGACACTAAACATACACCTGACACTTAAGCAACCCTTCAGTGGCTACAACCAGACTTCAGATTTTAATTCCAACAGTATTCTTGCCCCTCATTATCACAGTAAAAAATGGGATGAACATAACCAGCTGGCTGTTCAGTGTGATGGAGGAAAAAAACCTCAAGTACAATAGCTGGCGGCCAACCAAACTGCCAACACAGGCTTTCTTTTTATCGAAGTTCCCCATCTGGTTTCAGTTTACTGTTTGAGTTAGAAATCTAATCCTTCCACTATGGCTTTAGCATCTCGATGAAAGGCAAGATATGCAACATTCAGCTGTTAATTATTTGGAACACCATTCATCCTTGATGATGCCGTTAGATTATCGTACTTCTAAGGACTAAAGGATATTTGGCAGTGTTAGTCAACAGCAGACAGATTTTCTCACTTTCCATTTCAGAAAGTTAACCCAGGCTTTTGACAGAGCTAGCAAAAAGAACAAGGAATGATCCTGCATGTATTCCTCGTTCAAGGCTGGTGTCCTGCGGGCATCAGTGCTGCTACCACTGCTTCAGTGAAGGAACAAAGCCTGCCAAGTTTCAATACTCAAGCATTTTCTTCAGAGTTTTATTGCTGTAGCACCTACCTTCTTTTGGCAAAATAGCCACAGCAGGAGAATGGTCAATGACGGTGTACAGCTCTCTACTCACGTACCGATCGAGCTCGATGAGCCTTTCCGAGGAGGACTGTGACATTCCATGATCACTTGTGACTATGACATTTATCACACCCCACAGCTTGGCTTTCTTCAGTTCAGACATAAGGTATCCCAGCTTTTTGTCAATATCACTAATTATCGGTCCCATAAGTGGGTTTTCTGGGCCCAGAAAATGGCCCATCTCATCGGGCTCTTCCCAGTACAGGAGACCAAAGTTTATCGGTTCTTCTGATGTAAACCAGTCAATAAGCCTCGCAACTCTATCTTCAAAGGAAACAGATTCGTTGTAGGGCAGATAATAGGTAGGAAAGACCCCATGTATTTTCACATCTGTTCCCGGCCACATCGCTGCTCCTGTTTTATGCCCTTCCCTCTGGTTCGTTACCCATATTGGGCTGGCTTCTTCCCAGAACTTGGAGTTATAGATATCCATTTTGTTCATGGAGAATGTTTCGTTCAGAATAGGATCGTACATCTCATTAGCAACTATACCGTGGCTTTCTGCATACAGCCCAGTCACCATTGTGTAGTGATTAGGATACGTCTTCGTTACAAACACATTAGTGACCTGTTTGACATGAACACCATTCGCCATGGCATAGTGAAAATTGGGAGTTGGGACTCTATAGATGTAATCCCATCGAAATCCATCAAAAGACACTAGCAAGACTCCGGGCTGGGCTGGCTGGAGAGACGACGCACTCGGAAGAAATGGTAAGAAACATGCCAGGAGCAGTTGGCTCATGGCCATTCTGGAAGGTGTCTGTCCCCTCTTCCGAGGCAACATGGCATCTGTTGAGCAGAGACAGAAGATTGGTTTGAGTTAAACTGTTTGCCAAAGTTGTAACTTAGTTTTAAGAATGAGTAGCTAAAATACTCCTTATGTATTTATACACCTTGCTTTACCAACACCAACCCTCCCAACGCAGGAATGAGACCTTTCACCTACCAGTTACACGACAGCCCAATTTCAAGGACGGGAAGGGAGACACCACCGAAAAAACTTCTGCTTCTTAAGAGTCAAGACATAAACAGCAGCAGTTGTCACCTTGAGAATAACAAGGTCATAGAATCATATAATCATAGAATGGTTTGGGTTGGAAGGGACCTTAAAGACCATCCAGTTCCTACCCCCTGCCATGGGCAGGGACCCCTTCCACTAGACCAGGTTGCTCCAAGCCTCATCCAGCCTGGCCTTGGACACTTCCAGGGATGGGGCATCCACAGCTTCTCTGGGCACCCTGTCCCAGGGCCTCACCACCCTCTCTGTGAAGAACTTCTTCCTGATATCTAATCTAACCCTCCCCACTTTTAATTTAAACCCGTTACCCCTTGTCCTGTCACTACAGACCCTTATAAAAATTCCCCCCCAGCTTCAGGCCCTGGAAGGCTGCAATAAGGTCTCGCCGGAGCCTTCTCTTCTCCAGGCTGAACAAGCCCATCTCTCTCAGCCTTTCATTATAGCAGAGGGGCTCCAGCCCTCTGAGCATCTTCGTGGCCTCCTCTGGACTCAACAGCATGAGCACCAGTTTGCCAACAGCTGACCTCACCTCTAACCCAACCGCAGGTTGCCTACGTAACCGAGCTCTTCCTGGTCAGCTCATTCTGACACTCGCTACCAAAGGTCACTTCCGGTGTACTGACAGCTTCACAAACAAGTCGTACAAGTCAGCGTGCAGTCCAAATTCCTCTAACTAACCCCTTGTGTCTGAGTGGGTTGGAAAGAGGTGGTTGAAAGACTCGGTGGCACACTCGTGAAGCACCAGAAACACCGTATTTCCACATGAACCCCACCACCTGTCCTTTCCAGTGAAATACCACTGCCGCCTGAGTGCAGGCAGCATGAAGTATGCAAGAAACAAGAAATGTGATGCACACCCTGTCCATGAGATGCTGACCACCAGACATGGTACACTAACGAATTTGCTCCCTAGCGAATTCAGCCCTAATTCTGATCATATGACTGAAGGATATTGACTGTTCCCAACTACGACTAGTGTTCCTTATCCAACGGCATGAGGTAATAGGACGCAAAATTTCATACTGTAGGGAGTTGTATTCCCCTGCCACAGTTTCTCTCTGACCTTCCTAAACACTGCCTTGTTCAAAACTGTTACCTAACTCCAGGTAAGTTCCCTGTAAGAACCCTCAGGCAGGATTTCCTTACCTGTAAGAGACCTAAAATTTCATGTTCATATTCCCCATTTCTTGCCCACCAGCATCATTCAACCACAAGACCAGATACGGCTCACTCCAACCCTGGATGTGGCTCTACTGACACTCCACACAGCCCCATTCAGGTTCCCATTTTTCAGCAATCCTCGGGAACCAGTCACTACTGAAATTCAGCTGGAAAACAGTGACTGTGTAACCAATAAACCCATACTAACACCTGGAGTACACAAACACCCTGGCTAATGTAAAATTTTATAGCTTAACAAGTATCTGAATACCACTGCAACGATGGATAGGATTTATCATTTTGGTAGATGGCAAGATACTTTCCCTGTGAGGTTTTCCTACCGTGATTCCCAATTAAATCTCACACACACACACTGGAAAGCAGCGCTGGCATTGACTCAGAGGTTTGACAAGCATCACACCAAACTGGTGTGTCTCCCCACAATTAAAATCCAGGCCTAGGATCCTGCTGAGAATGGACACTTAAGGGGCACCACTCCTCTTCCAGCCAACAGCACAGGCCCAAAGGCTGCAGAATCCCTCAGATCCACCCAAGGGGGGTGTCCCTTCACCTGAATCCCAAGGAAAAGCAACAGAACACACTGTTACATCCACCCGCACCCTCCCTGCCAAAGCAAGCTTAGCTCACGGCTGGGACAAATTCCCCACTCGGGGCAAAGCATGAATTTAAGTCCTCCCAAGTGCAAGCAGGTCCTCACTTCTGCGCTTTACGCTGTTACCAATGTCAAAAACACATACTCCAGTAATTGCATGTATTTAATACACAGGTTTTTCCCCCCCAAGGCCTCCCTATCCTGGTCCTCGCTGGCCGCAGCCCGAGCGCACCGGCCGGCCCGGCTCCCCCCGGCACCACGGGGCACGGCTCCGGGGCCC